TCCTTTTTTTTTTTTTTTTTTTTTTTTTTTTTTTCTTTCTTCGTTTTAAGGTTTGCTCATGGGATTCTACATAGATTATGGCGTCTGATCAAGATTGAGATGGAGTTCAGGCACTTTCGTGAACTTGCTTTTCATTGCTTTCACATCATGTCCTTTAGACGAGCGACCTCTGTTTTGCTTTCGATTCTTCTCCCTGTGCCATGTGTTATTGGCTGGGACTGTCTTATTATGATACTTAATTTCGAGAGGAGGAAAGGATGCGGTTCATGAATCCATGATTCAATGTCAGTACGAGGCAACGAAAGATGCACTTGTGAGACATTTAGCATGCATGCATGCATGGATGTGGCTTATGGCATTAGGGTCTTATGGGACTTAATTACGATTGTACTATCATGTTGCAGTAATTTCTTTCTTTCTGGTCTGCTAATGGATGAGTTTGAATCAAAAACATGATCTAGATCGATAAGATAAAAAGAAAAAAAAAAGAGGTACGGAGTGGCGGTGTGGCTGATACATAGCCTCCAGATCAGATCTCGGAGGTTAATGCACCTTCGTTTGTGTATGTATGTCACTTGAAACATCAATGAAAGCCATGAGAAATGTCCGACAGCTTTAAGCTCCACTGTACTGAAACATGACTGATTAGATAGATATCTACCCGAAACATTCAGGACAACTGCATACAGGCTAGATAATTTTCTGACATTCATGTCATTATCGTCTGTGGAGAACTTTCGTTGCGGGGGTTTCTTGATCAATCATGAGCCCTACGTTAGTGTAAATTCAAGGTTGACGCTCGTCCATTGTCCGAGTGGTTGTGGGAGGTAGCTGTAACAAAGGATTTGCCTATGGTAAGTTGGCAATTATCATTCATGCCAAGATAGGCACATATATGTTGATGATACACAATAGAGGACCGACGAGATCTACCCATCTCAGCCTAACATAAGAGGAAGATGCTCTTCATATTCATTTCGAGAAATGCAGTGGTCAACTATTCACACTGCAGCCCGCTGAATGTTTGGCTTACATGTAGGAGAAAGAGTCACAGAGCTCATGCATCGAACTGGTATCAATGATATGTCTCCTCCATCTTTCCCCCATCTTTCCATTTGTTCATCCGCCCTTTGTTTGCTCGTCGATAAAATTACGCCACTCAAGTTCCCCTTGCACCCTGACCCGATTGTACCCTTTGTCTATCCATCGTTTACCTACCGTATGTTGTCTCACCTTCCTCAAAGTTCTTCCTCAGACGCTGACAGCCCGCACCCTCTCTTTGGTATGGGCCAAATGGGCTGGTAAAAACATGGGCCGAGAATGCACAAGCCACAGGCTAAGTAGCCATTCATTCCCGTTCCTCAATCCGACCAGATTGACACACTAATAGATGAAATCCTCAGTGATATAAAGCCAGGGCCAGCGCCCTGAGGTATCCGATGTATACGTCTATGACCGAGAGAAAACCAACTTTTCACGTAATCCACCAACCAATCCAATCTACATCTATATACACCTTGGGTGGTGATTATTACGATAACCAATCCCACAGCCCCAGTCCCACTACCCACTCTACCAATCCCCCTCCCCCTCGCTGCCACTCCCCGCATACGCCTGCTTCCTCAACTTCCACAGCCCCTTCTCCCGCTGCGTGCCCGCCGCACCGTCCGCCTGCCGGTTCCTGTGGTCCTCAATCACCGTCATCCAGGGCACGTTGGTGCTGGCCCTGCGAACGCGATCCTTCAGCATCTCCGCCACCCGCTGTTGCCTGCGCGCCTCTTCAGCGTCGACGACTGCCTTGCTGGTATTCCGCTTGGCGAGCTTCTCGAGCGAGTCCCGGTACCGCTTCTGCTCCGAGCGGGCCGCGTAGTAGTCCTCGCTGATTGCCCAGTTTGGGTTGTCCAAAAGGCCGCGCACGAGGACCAGGGCGTGGCCGTGTTGGCGGGCCCTTTGAATCCGTGAACTGGGAATCGGGGTGGCGAGGTCGATGGTGTGGGAGGCGGGATCAATGGAGCGGACGAGGGCGAGGCCTAGACTATGGGATTTGCGCGGGTCGAAGGGATTGGAGCTGCCGGAGCCGGCAAAGAGGTACGGAAGGGATTCGGGGGTGCGGGCGATGTTTGAGCTGAGGTCTGTTGTCGCGGGCTGTGGTCTGTTCGTGTGGTCATCATCGTCGGCCATGATTATGTCGGAGGCAGCGTCGACGGCGACAGCTGGGGTCGTGGTTGTAGAGTCGGGGGTAGAAGTACTGCCGAGAAGGGCATTGGAGGATTCCACAGCGACGATGGCAACGATGCTTCCCTCGAGAACTTCGGAAAGAAGGTCAGGGTGAATTTGTGAGCCCATCACCATGATGCCTTGAATGTCCTGATTGGGACCAGAGTAATGAACCTGGAACGGCTGGGTGCGCGCGAGGGGCTGCCCGTGCCATAATGGCGTTTCCATGTCGCTGGGGTGAGTCATGTGGAAGTAGGATTGCATCTGCATGGAGCGGAGCTGAGCGCTGGACCGGCTCACAAAATCGGTGGGTTGGGAGGGAAGAATGGTCAGAGGCACTTTGGCCTGAGAGGCGGCTTGACCCAGAGGTTCAATCACCTCGGCAGGGCCCTTGTCACTCATGTAGACGACGTCTGACAGACCGAGAGAGCTCACAAGGTAGGTTGCTACCTCAAGGCCAAGTCCAAAGATCCAGCCTGGATAGTTGATGATTAGAGGGCATTGCGGGTAGTCCGCCAGCAGAGAGCGGTACCGATCCATGAGATCCTTCGCCGCTAAAACATAGTGGTCAGGGTCTTCCTTGGGCGAGTTCGCTCCGATGTGATGCGCTCGTACAATAGTGCCGTTGCGAGAGTCATCTAGCGATGGGTGAGAGAATGGAGGACCAAAGACTGGTGAACGGAGATGGGCAAGATACACTTGTCCCATAGGAGAGAACTCGGGCTGGCCGGGATCAAGGTCGAGGAAGGCGACACCATCGGTGTTGCGATGGCTTGTCTCGGTCTGCGGAGCAGGACTGAGAAGGTGGTTAAGAAGGTAGCGACTAAAAGTGGACTTTCCAGAGCCCTTGGGACCACAGATCAGTGCTCGCAGTCGTCCACCGCGCTGAGACAGGGACTTGATGGCCGAGCTCCACTGCTTCTCAAGGTGCAGGGGTCGGAGATGTCTCTTCAAGGAGTCGTCCGCAGATGTGTACAGCTGAAGAATGATTAATCATAGGTCACCAGAGAGAGAGAGAGAGAGAGAGAGAGAGTAAGATGACGTACCACTGAGAATGTGCGCTTGGTCGATGGTGACACGTTTTTCAGTGTGAGCTTGTCGGCTGCCGTGTTCTTGCTGTTCCATACCCGTTCATACAATGGCGACAGATGCCTGAGACGATAGATTCCACTGTGGCATGACTTCACCTCGACCTCAGCCGCACCATCAACGCCAGAAACGCATTTGATCACAGGCAAGGAATGCGTCGAGGGGGCGTAGACTCTGTAGACTCGGGAGGAAGGGTGCAATTTTGCGCCCATGAGGCTCACCACACCACGCTTGACCCAGAGATCGTAATGCCCGATAAACACAAGACTCTGGTTGCTGTCAGCTTAGTGACACTACTTACAGATTCATGGGCTCTTACCATCTTCTCCTTGATCCGGACGCAGAGCCTATGCTCGTCGCTGTACACCACATTGTTCTTGTTCAACCGCGTCTTTGACAGCGGGAAGTCCTGCATTTGCACAGGGGTATCCGCGGGAGATTCGTATCTATAAGAATGAGTACAGATGTAGGAGCCTCGTGATTGGGGTCTTACTCGTCATCATCTCCCTGCAGCGGGGTGAATCCGACACCATTGGCTTCCTCCACTGCGGCATTCTCTGCCTCCGACTCTGCGTCTGATGAAGCGTGCTCCTCAGTCGATGGGGCAATATCCTGTGCCTTTGGCTGCGGAGCTTTGTGCGAGCGTGTTACCCTGCGCGCCTCTTCTGCTGGTTGCTCGACCGGATCAACATCCTTTCGCCTCGTAGATCGTCTCGGCTGGGTTCGTTCCTGCTCGCCTGCAGTTGCTTCTTCGGGAGAGCGTCGGGCTTTCTTCGACGGAGGCTCACCAGCCGGTTCGAAAGCGACTGGTTTTTCGACAGCTGCTGCCGCGCTTTGCGCCTGTTGCTGCCGAGCTTTGCGAGCCGCAAAGGCGCTGACCGGAGCTAGAGAAAATCAAGTCAGTACCATTTCCATTTCCGCACAACCATAAAACCGCGAGAAGAGTCCGACTCACCAGCTGCTTGCGGTTTATCTGCCTTTCTCTTCATGGTTCTTGATGAAGCAATCGAGAGCACGCAAGATTTAAATTGCAAGGCGCAAAAGCGAGGGACTTGCGGCGCGGGACTGCCCAAAAAAGGTTCATATTTGAGGCCGCGGACTTCCTCGGGTGGTCCGTGCTTCGCGGAGCAGAAAAAAAGGTTATCGCTCGAAAAGTCCGAATCGGGTCCTCGCAACCTGCAGAGACACGAACCTCGTGCAACCTAATTGTCTCAACTGCGATTTACATGCCGGCTGCAAGCGCAGTTCTTCCTCTACATCTTATTACTCTCCGTCGAATTTGATCCCCATAGTGCTTTCAAGGCAGCGCGTGACTATCGAGCCGTCGACATCGTACGTTGCGGCCACCTCGTCCTCGAGCATTCGCATACAACTGGTATCTACCTAGTCGCCATGGCACCTAAATCGGAAGAGAAGATTACCGTCTCGGACGACGACGTCTCTATGGCATCCTCCTCCGCTGCCGAGTCTGCGACGAGTTCGGAGGGTGAGTCGAGCAGTGAGAGCGGAAGCGACAGCGACAATGAGAGCACCACAACCTTGACCAAGTAGGCTTCACGAGACCAATGTATACTTATCACAACCACTAACCATCCTGACTGCCTAAGGCCTTCATCTCGTGCTTCCGCCCACGCTCCTCAACAGTACAAGCCACCTCCTGGGTTCAAGTCCGTGAAACAGCAGATTGCCCCGAACAACAATGTTTCGTCGCTTCTCTCCGACCTGCGCGGCAAGCAGGTTTACCACATCACTGCGCCTGACTATCTCCCCCTCTCGAAAGTCGAAGAAGTCTCCTTAGCCAAGATCATGCAAGGCAAGCCGGTCCTTAAATACAAGGGCGTACAGTATGGAATCCCCGCGGAAAGCATTACGCAGAGCGGCGTGGCCGGACAGGCTCTTCAGCTTTACGATCAAAAGACCAAGACCTACTACAGTACGGCAGCTAGCAACATCCCGAGCTATCACATCCAAGAACTGGTGGATGCGCCCCGTGATTCGGAGGAGGATATTCTCGCAGCCGTCAAGGAGCAGGTCAAGCCTCCGCGCAAGCAACCTAAGAACCTGAAGATGCGCTTCCATCCCGTCGGCAGCGGACAGTTGCCCCCTGAGACGATCGGGTCCAGCTCTGAAGAATCAGAAGGGGAGGCACCTACATTCAAGGTTCCAAAGTCCCTAGAGAAGGAACGGGAAGAACGGAAGCGCAAGCACCACCCTACGGAGGAAGAAGGAGCCCACGTGAGCGAGACCTCCCGCAAGAAGTCCAAGAAGCACACATCTGCCCAGGGAGTGGAGCAGGGAGAGGCCGGTGAGGATAAGAAGAGCAAAAAGTCGTCGAGTAAGAGCCGAGAGGAGAAGAAGCGAAAGAAAGCGGATAAGGCGGCTTGATTGTGGCGGTCATCGGTGTAGTCTTTGTTTTCTTTCTTTCGATTTAAAAAGTTGGCATTATTAGACCAGGTGTAATCTTGCGGTTTTGTTGGGCATGTGACCTTTGTGACTCATTGCTGTCTACTTGTATATACACAATCATCGTCTGCATCGCACATTGTAGCGAGGTAGGACTCTATTTTCAGCAATGTTCTTCTGGGCCCACCGCCGGCCACAAATTAGTGTCGATCACCCCCAACTTTGGGTTTCGAACAAGGCTGCTAGGCGTAGCCACTAATTTCTTGTACTGGAGCATCGTGGATCATGGAAACGATAGATTAACTAGAAGCTGGGGCCTGTCAGGCTGCCTGAACTCGGATCACCACATCAGGTGGCAGCAATCTGTAATATCCTTTGGTTCAACAGCCTCATCAAACAACAACTAACTACTACCTTGTGGATGGGATGACACCTTCAAAGGTAAGGTAGTCAGTCTGCCAGGGTCTCCTGGCGCCAACTGGTATGGTAAGTTTAAAACACCGCGGCGTCCAGATACCGCTGAATCAGCCGAGTGGGCCAATGAGTCTCGATGGAAGGTTAACACCACCCCCGGCTCTGATCACATGCAAAAGTGCTGATTGGGTACAATGACTTCTACTGAACAGCTGATACGGACTGAGACTGACGACAGGCAGTCGGGGGTGGAGTCAACCTTTCCTTCTTTCCCCCCCCTTCAACCCCCGGACTTACACTACTACTACTCACTAGTAGGAGGTAGTGACGAGCTACCCGTTCCTTAACTACGTAGTACGTAGTAATTACTTATCTATTGCTGCCAGTGGTTAACTACCCTTACCTTAACTTACCTACTTCTCTGCATCACACAAATCATTCTGCTGCTGCTGCTGCTCCTGCTGCTCGACCGCCTGTTTCTTCTTTCACTTTCACTCTTTATCCTCACATTCCTGGAGACACTTCCCTCCCCCCGCCTCTTTCCACTTCCCCCAAATATCCCCCGTCTCTCCTTTGATCATGATTCCTCAAGTTTGGTCTCTGCTGCCTTGACGGCTTGCCTAGCCTTGTGATTCTGGTCCTCCTTCCATAGCTATCTGTCAGTCTGCCTTATCGGACAGCTCGTAGCACACGTCTGGTGCGTCTAACTTTGCTTTTTCTTGTTCTTGTTCTTTTTCTTTTTCTTTTTTTTTTCTCTTTTGGACTATCAGTCTACCATTCACTTGATCCTGGGCAGAGCTTTTGCTTTGTATGATCATAGATCCTCTCCCGTTATCATAACCCGTGACATGCTTTGCCAATAGGTCTCCTTCTGTTGACCATCTAACGTGACTTGAACCTACTGACTCCTTTGATCCTGAAGGGCCGATCACGTTCCTCATCTCCATCATCCGCTCAGGCATTGTCAGCATCTACATCGAGTCCATATCCGCCGTGGCTGTTCTATTCAGTGTCCATTCGCTTGTGCCACACTTTGCAACGCTCCCAACAATGCGACCTTTTATTGACGATACAAAACGGCGGCGGGACCGTAGGCTCAGCGCAAGCAGGCAGTCTGTCTCATCCAGCCGTATCTTCGCCGGCGCTTTCCCCGAACGACTCAAAGACGACCACGATGCTCAAGTGGACTTTTCTGCGCCTCCAGGTGCCAGCACAGCTCGCGACGGCCATATGCAATATATGCAACAGTCCATATTCTCCATGATTGCCGCAGTAGGATCTAGATCAGACTTCCATGCACGATTTGACGATTCAAGCGACAGTGACGGCGACCCTGAGGACCGCGTTCCGAAGGGGACTGAGGACGTCATATCAACTTCTGCTTCGCCCAACAAGAGCGTGCCCGATAGTCGCCGGTCTCCCAAACCTGCAAGCCCAACGCAGGACAGAGGACGTCGTCCTCAGAGGGTCTTATCCGAGAATAAGCTCTTGCGGTCGTTTATATCAACCGCTAAGCGCGGCAAACAACGAGAGCCCACTATACACTCAGAACCTCCTACAGATGATGAGACGTCCCGTGCTTCGACCCCTAGACGACCACGCAGTGCTACGCCGCGGGCGGCCCCTGTGCTTAGTCGCATGGTCGAAGCACAAGCCGCCTTAGATACGAAAGACGCTTCCGAAAGCTCCTCGGAACGCACAGATGAAGAAAGCGACAAAGAGCACAAGCAGTCGTCGGGGACTCCACTCTCCATTCGACTCAAAGAGATGTTTGGATTCGAGGCCCCGGAAAAGGTGGTTGTCGAGTATGCATGTTCATTACTGCAGAGTATGCTTCTACAAGGATACTTGTATGTCACAGAAGGCCACATCTGTTTCTATGCCTATCTACCCAGAAAGTCAACCGTCATTATCAAGTCCGGGCACCTTTACAAACGGGGCAAGAAGAATCCGAAATACAATCGCTACTGGTTCCTATTGAAAGGTGATGTGCTATCATACTATGCAGACCCATCGAATCTATACTTTCCCAGCGGTCATGTTGATCTTCGCTACGGGATCTCTGCATCCCTAGCGGAGCCGAAAGACAAAAGCCGAGAAACGCGGGACTTCCAGGTCACGACAGATCAGCGAACCTACTACTTCAGAGCAGATAGCTCTACGAATGCCAAGGAATGGGTCAAGGCTTTGCAAAAAGTCATCTTCCGAACTCATAACGAGGGCGAGAGTGTCAAGATTTCCTTTCCAATTGAAAGCATCATAGACATAGAAGAAAGTCCGATGGTCGACTTCGCCGAGACATTCAAAATCCGGACAATCGAGAGCGAGGAATCATATGCGATTGAGGAGGTACTTCTACTGACTCGGAAAACTGTGATGACATTCACTGATCGGGATTACCTAGTACTATTTCTCGTTTATCGACTCGGGCCGAGATGCTTTCAACTATCTCAAGGGTCTAGTTGACAACTCTCCGATGAAGCGATCGCAGCAGACTTTATCCCCTCAACCCAACAATCTGGCACGCTCCCAACGCTCCCGAGTGGCGCAAAATAGATGGTCCATCACCAGTGGTGCGAGTCAGCCTCGAGGCATAGCAAACGCTAGCATTCAACGACGGAGAAGTGCAAGCACAGGCCAGGTCGTATTGGACCACGATCCGCCGACCATGTCTCCTTCGGCAAGGCAGCAGGAATCGTCAATGTCATTTAGTAATACCCTGGAGCAAACCACCGAATCATCCGCGCTCCTGCAGTCAATGACAGACACCACGGAATCGGCCAGCCAAATCCTCAACAGAAGCGACGTCTTCCACTCCCCTACAATACAAAGCCTGCGGAGAGGACCTTCCACAACTAACAGAAGTGCGCGGCGATACTCAGATGAGACAACCCGATCAATGCATGCCTATGCCAATGATATTAGCGGACGTGCTCTTACCACGAGCGGCCCAGACGAAGAGACACACGGGTCTTCCCGATTACCACCCCCCGCGCACCCTCTGAACGAAATCGTGCGTGCGGGAACATATCCGTTGCAGCGCGCTGCGGGGTTTGCCGAGTATCTGAAAACACGATCGAAGCAAATGAGCAATATTCTTGCAAGCGAATCTATGGGCTACATAGAGAAAGTGTCCGGCATGTGGGCCGGTGGCCGGAAGCACTACGGTGAAGCAGAAGGTATACTTGCTGACGACCAGGCTGTCGACCCTGAGGACAAGGAAAGGGGTTGCAAGGATGGTGATCGGTTCCGTGCGCATTTTGCGCTACCTCCAACCGAGAAACTACAAGCGACCTACTTTGCATACTTACACCGAGTGCTACCACTGTACGGCAAGATTTACATTAGTCAGAAAAAGTTGTGCTTTCGCAGTCTTCTGCCGGGAACTCGCACCAAGATGATTCTTCCATTGAAGGATATTGAGAATGTGGACAAGGAAAAGGGATTCCGGTTCGGCTACCATGGGCTGGTTGTTGTGATTCGGGGGCATGAAGAGCTATTTTTCGAGTTCAGTGCTGCTGATCTTCGGGATGACTGCGCCGTTACACTGCACCAGGGCCTCGAGGCTGTGAGATTTCTGGCAGAGTCCAGGCTACTTGGGGAAGAAGAAGGAGAAGAGGAAAGAGGAGGAAAAGATGAGTCCGAAGCAGCGAAGACGGAGCATCGTATGCTTCAGGAAGCAAGGCTCGACGCATCTGCTCTGCAAAGCTCTCGTTCCGCGCTCCTTGAGTCTTCTGAATTGCATCCGATCTTTGACGACCCGCGTGCTTCTATCATCAACTTCAAGCCCACAGAGTCCTTGCGAATCACATGTCTGACGATTGGTTCACGCGGCGATGTGCAGCCATACATTGCCTTGTGCAAAGGCCTCCTCGCTGAGGGTCATCGACCTAGAATTGCAACTCATGCGGAGTTTGGGTCTTGGGTGAAGCAGCATGGCATCGACTTTGCGCCCGTCGAGGGTGACCCCGCGGAATTGATGCGCATCTGTGTGGAGAATGGAATGTTCACATATTCCTTTCTCAAGGAGGCTTCGATGAAGTTTCGTGGTTGGATTGATGATTTGCTATCGTCCGCTTGGCAGGCTTGCCAGGACAGTGACCTACTCATCGAGTCGCCAAGCGCAATGGCTGGTATTCACATCGCCGAGGCCCTGCGGATTCCATACTTCCGGGCCTTCACAATGCCCTGGTCCAGAACACGAGCGTATCCGCACGCATTCGCTGTTCCTGAGCATAAGATGGGCGGGGCTTACAATTACATAACGTATGTCATGTTTGACAACGTCTTCTGGAAGGCCATCGCAGGGCAAGTAAACCGATGGAGAAAGAACGAACTGGGCCTGAAAGCAAGCGGACTTGATAAGATGCAACCCAACAAGGTTCCATTCCTTTACAACTATTCTCCTACGGTGGTACCTCCACCATTGGACTATCCCGACTGGATTCGGATCACTGGGTACTGGTTCTTGAATGAAGGTACGAACTGGACCCCACCGGCAGACTTGGTGGAATTTATTCAGCGTGCCCGCGACGATGGCAAGAAGGTAGTATATATTGGATTCGGCTCCATTGTTGTCTCCGATCCATCGGCCCTCACTCGGACGGTTGTTGAGTCTGTCCAGAAGGCGGACGTACGGTGTATCTTGTCCAAGGGGTGGTCTGATCGACTAGGCGATCCTTCAAGTACCAGATCAGAGATTCCTCTGCCACCAGAAATCTTCCAGATTCAGGCTGCACCGCACGACTGGCTGTTCTCGCAGATCGATGCTGCAGCGCATCATGGTGGGGCGGGAACTACGGGGGCCAGTTTGCGAGCTGGTGTCCCTACCATCATCAAGCCCTTCTTCGGCGATCAGTTCTTCTTCGGCACCCGAGTTGAAGACTTGGGGGTGGGCATCTGTATGAAGAGACTGAACGTGAGCGTGTTCTCAAGGGCCTTGTGGGAAGCCACCCATAGCGAGCGAATGATTCTGAAGGCACGCGAATTGGGCAAGCAGATTCGGAGCGTAAGTTCATCTTCGAAGGGATTTTGCTTTGGCATCTGCTAATTTGAGTACAGGAGGATGGGGTAGATACCGCGATCCAGGCCATTTACCGTGACCTTGAGTATGCGAAGACTCTGGCCCGACAGCGCTCGATTGTTTCATCCACGCCGTTCTCGCCGACCCCTGCAGCCAAGACCATTGCAGAACAAGAAGCTGATGACGATGTGGCTGACATTGAGGAATGGACGTTTGTGGACGATGACACTGATGCCGACATGGCGAAGCGAGTGCGCTAGTGAACAGTGTTTCAATTTTGGTGACTGCGTGTGCAGGCTCCACGACTACTGATGACTGATGACTACATATTCCATGGATAATCGATTGTAATGATTTTTTTTCAGGTTTGCTGGTGGTAGGAAGCAGAATTGCATGCGCGGGCAGGGTATGATGTTTTGTTCTTTCCGACTGATGAGTTATGATGCTGTGGAGGGTGAATACTTCATGATACACTCTAATTGCTATTCCACGTTGCTGTGTATGAGGCGCGCACCTTATATAGATTGAGTATTAATAGACTGATACACCAGGGGGTTCGGGGAATTCTTGGAACTTCTTTTGTTGCTGTGGTCGTCGGAAGTAGAGAGATGCGATGATATAAGACGCCAGACTAGATCATAATTAAAACCAACCAGGGCCCGAAAGTTATACAATTGATTATGCTTGCTTGTCTTCCTCGTCGCCCTTCCCCTCGGCCTTTTCTTTCCGTCGCTGCACGACATCCCAGTTGTAGACTCTGGCCGTAGCCACTTCGAGGGTCTAACCAAGAAAATCGTAGTCAGCGACCTCAACTCCTCTCGGAAGACCCGCAACGAAAGCAAAGGAAAGGACAGGACAAACCGTAATCTGCTCCCTCAAAAACTCCAAATCCTCATCGCAATTCCGCAGACTACTCTCCGCCGCGGCCAGCTTATCCGTCAACATGGACTCAGCCTCCTCAATCGGATACGCCAGCATCACATTGGCCCCCAACCAGAGATACACCTCCTCCGTGTCCTGGGGCGAGACCGTGGCGCGGGCATAGAGGGTATCATTCAACTCAAAATTCGTCTCCAGCGGCGGAGCATCGGGATCGGCCGTCTTTCGCCGCGCGGACAGGAACCGCACCATCTCCAGGGTCTTCTTGATGTCGGGGATCTTGTCGCGCAGGCCCGCCGCGCGCTTCGTCGTGTTGACCTCCATGAATTGGTACTTGGAGATCATCTCTTGGAAGGAGCGGAGGGTGGGTTCGACTTCGGCGCGGCTGGAGACGTAGTCGGTTACATTGTCGATGAAGGGGGCGGCGGGGATGCCGCGGGGGTTGGTTGGGGGGCTGTTTTGCGGGATTTTCTGGTGGTTAGGTTTGGATGGGAGTTCCGGGGGTTTTGAAGAGAAGCTTACGCGGGTTTTGAGTCTGTCATTTTGAGTGTGAGTTTGTGTGTGTGCTGTGGTGTAAATGCGAGGAGGAGGGGGAGGAAAAGGAAGATGGGCGGCGGCGACGGCGCAAAATGCTATCAAGATTGAGTAGTTACAACTAGTTTGGTGTAGGTCAATCAGTGAATGATAAGTTGTAGGTTAAAGTGGGGGAACTGGAAAAAGAAGGTGGTTGCTTGTTTAGGCTTAGCGGGTGTTCTTTTCTGCCGGTTTTATTATGACGGAGGATCACCGCGGAGTTGGAGCGGAGTTAATCGATTACTGTATCAATCAGTCAGTAACTTACTACAGCTTCAATCTCACAGCCTGGCTCAACCACTAGCTTATCCAAAAGCACCATGAGTCGATGATCCTTCGGCGAGTCAACTGTACATCATGGTCAACTTGATCACCACCCCGGCCATCCTCTCCGCATACGAGGCCCTCCCCGCCTCCACGAGACAAGACCTCTCCCTCCCCTCCGCGCTCCACCTCACCGACCCCATCTCCCACGAGCAATTGATCGGGATAGCCCGCTTCTTTCGAAATTGTTCTCCTCCTCCTCCTCCTCCTCAGAATGACACCCTTCCTCAAGAACAGCGGAGTCTGAATGCCCTCCTCCGCGGCACAAAACTCCACGTTCCGCCCCCGCCCCCGAAACCCGAGCCGGTATATTTCTTCCCCCTTCCCATACCAGACACCTTTTCATTAATGCTTCCCCCGCGGGGCTACAGACAAAAGAATACCTCGCCTACAAACGCGCCCTCCTCGCCGCCGCCGAAGCCGACGCCTACACGCGCATGACCACGCCCCAACCATTCTTCTCCGCTTCTGCTGCTTCTTCTTCTAGTCCTGGAGCCACCACCCTCCCTCCCTCCGCCCCGAACCCAATCTTCACGTCCAGCAGCCCCCAGCTCGCCGCACTGCACGACAGGCACAGCTCCTCGTCTTCTGGATCTGGAGGACTCGGACGCCGCCCTCCTCACGACGACGACCAGGAGACCATCACCCCGTCGCTCGTGCTGAATATTTTTCTCTCCGTGTTGATCACCGGGTTTAGTGTGTTCTGGGCGCTGCATAGTTGGCTCCCTGCCGGGACGGTCAGGGTGGGGGCGGGGGTGAAGGTGCTTTTGTCGCTGGGGGCGGCGCTGGGGGTTGCGGTTGTGGAGGCGGGGATTTATGCGATTTATTTGCAGAAGGTGCGGGTTGCTAGAGAGAAGGAGAGGAGGGTGAGGGAGGTGAAGGTTGTGGTTGGGAGGGAGGTGGTGGGTGGGAAGAAGGATGGGGAGGGGGTGGTGGTTGGTGGTGGTGCTGGAGTGAAGGAGGAGATCTGGGGGAAGGGGGTAAATGGTGGGGTTAGGAGGAGGGTGAGGGAGAGGTGGGAGGAGAAGGAGAGGGATAAGGATAGTCATGAGGGAAAGGAGTAGTAGGTTGTAGTTATGTATGTCTTGTGTACCATTATGATGAATGTGATGTGAGGTCCAGTGGTGCAGTCCGGGGTGGGTATTGCCCTACGGTGTGTATTCTTAGTATTGTAACTCTGTTAGGGTCATGCTATCGACTGGATGTTATGAGCTGGGTTTTCAATGAAAGATTGGCTTCCGTTTGGGTAACTAAATTGGTGGTGTTGCTTCCGCTCGTGCCTTAACTATTTTTGCGGAAAGTGTAATAGAGAAACTGGTAGTGAAGAATTCAGAAGCTCCGAACTGACTATCAGGCTTATTATGCCTCAGGAGAAACTGATCACGGAGAAAGTACTAGAGCACGAAGCCCAATTGACGCTAGAGAACACGTCCAACTACCCGAAAGACCGCTAGTTGCAAACATGCCAGGATAAACCTCACTTTAAGCACCATCCTCGGTAGCCCCCGCGTAATTCAACTCACTACTGTCAAAGTATCGAATCTCCAACTTCGCCTCTCCATAGTTCGGATCTGCGAAAGCCCGATTGAGCCATTCCAGCGCATGAGACCAAGCCTTTGGCATAATGCCCTCCGTGTTCAGCTCCTCGCCCGATGAATAGCAATTACAGCCATGATCGAGCATTGCCTCAGCCGGCATCCCTAGCGGCTCGTTCGAGAGCACGTAGCCGCGACAGCGTGAGACGACAAAAGCCGCAAAGGAAGTCGGATCCGCCGAGGCCAGATTCTCGTAGTCCGCACCAATTTCGATCTGCGCTATGTGAAGAGGGTTGGCAAAACAGATAGCCGAGATGTTTGATCTCCAAGAAGCCCCTTATCATTTGAAATAGCGTCAGTACTACTACCGCTCATATCTCACAGCTGGGAAAGCTGGCCCAGTCCCACACTTACAATTCCGAGCCAAGTACCGAAGAGCACCCAACCCTCCCTCCGAGGCTCCCACAATGCTGATTTTTGCACCCCAGCTAACCAGTCGACCCCGTGCAGACAGGATGTCCTCGAATACACGATCAACATGATTCGCCCAGTGCTCGTGACCGGGAATCTTGTTCCGGCGAGACATCTCGGGGGGCGGGTCCACCGCCGATTCACGGGGCATGTGCAGCCAGTGAGTCAGCGTGATGGCCTGGCCGGAGGCACAGTGCCAGACGAGTTGACCGGTGTTTGCGAGTACAAGGGCGGTATTGGGCATGTTCGCATCAACACCGCCATCTGCCTGGCCCGGACGCAGTACGGCCTGAGCAAAGGACACGAGCGAGCCTGCATTGATACCGTCAGAGCCGACACTGCGATACGACCAGATGCCCAGGTCCTGGATGGGCTCGCCAAACAGCACGATGATGTGGGAGGCAGCGGACAGGTTCTTTGACACCATGATTGGCACATGGGCCTTCTTTGTTGCTGCAGCTAGTGGGAGGTGTAGGTCGACGAGGCCGAGCTTGCGCAGACGAGATAAGACGATCTTGCGGATGCATTCTATGAGTGAGGACGACTGTCAGAGAAGCAAGATGATGATTGTTGCGTTCTCGATGCAGAAAGCCATCTGGATCACTAGACATACCGTTCATAGCTTCTCTCTGGACGTCGTTCCAACGGGAGTTGCGGTTGATCTTATACTGGAACTCCTGCGTCGGATCTGAGATCTTGCGGATCTGGTCTTTATCGTTCACAAAGTATCTATGTGGTATCAGCATGAAGAATACCCGATGAAACATGATGTGAGCTGACCTACCCAAGCTCTGCCAGGTTCGCGGGGAACACTGGGTCCGCAGGCAGGTCCTCGCGGCGATAGACGAACATCTGGAACACTGTGAAAGGACGGAGCCTGTGTTGCCTCGTAGAAGAAGTAGGAGACTGAATGAGAGAAGAAGAGATGAAGGGCAATGAGGAAAAGATATCGTGGATGTCAGTAACAGCTGAGCTGCAGCTTCCCGCCAGGTGAACCCAGACGCGAAGCTGCGTTTGCGAGTCAGTCAGTGAATGTTGGATGGGGGGTCCCAACCATGAAGCATTTGGTGATTGTGTTGGTGTTCTGAAACGAGAGAGAAGTCATCGACACCCCTCTTATTTGCAACAGTTCTTCTCATGTACCGTACTCTGGTCACTCGAAAGCGAAAGGGACAGCAGCACCGACAATGAAAGCATAGCAAGATGCTCTAATCATCTCAAGTGAGACATAGGAGAGATTGACGCCAGACAGACCAATCCGACGAACATCAAATCTCAGAGTATTCTTTCCTGCGATCAGAAGCCAACAGGCCCCGAAGCACACCAACTCTACCCAACAATCACAGAACTCCGAAGAAAAAATGCCCATTGTATTTCCTCAATCAAAAGTCATCTAAGTATACAGTACAGATCCCTCCCCACAGGGAATCAAGATGCAGGAGGGAAGAAATAAACAAACGCCATCAAGGAAAGCACCGAACCCACCCAGAAGCTTGTCAAACAATATGATTCTATCACATATAAACCGGGAGGTCGCAGACCACACCACCAAGCATATCTCCGCTTGTCGGGTCTACCAACTGGCCTTTCTGACACCCGGAAGCTCTCCGGCCAGCGCCTGTTCACGGAATTGGTACTGCATAAAAGGAATTCGTCATGTTAGCCTTGTGCTCTTCTATACCCTCCATACCAGACACAACCACAATTCCACGAGCAAAGAGAGAAACTCACTCTTCCCAACCGGAAGTCCCGAATAACGGATCTGGCGACACCACCCGCTACACAACGGTTCTTGATCTGGGTGGGCCGGGTGTAGGCGTGCATCGCGGCCAGCTGCAATTGCGCCTGAGCACGGGCACGGGCGGGGAGAGTGGTATTGCGAATCACATAGCGAAGAGCTTGGCTGAACGATCGAGTGAGAATTAGCATATGGTCATCTTCGAGGTCGGTTATGCAATTGCAGGATGGAGGTGGAGTGGAGGGAAACCTCGGAAGAGCGGGCTCATACCGTTCGACTTCGTTGGCCTCGAAGACTCTCCGCTTGGTGTGGTCACGGATGATCTTGCCGTTGATGAATCCGCCCAGATCGAGCTTCTTAGCTCTAAACATCGACATGGTGAATATATGTGCGAGGGTATGACTTTGGCGCAAGCAGAGTTGGGAGCGTGGACTGAGTTCCGCAACAATCACTGGAGTTTGGCCGGAGCGGCGAAAGTCACGGAGAAAATAGGCCTTCCCGATCGGGGTTAGTGCAATATCACATTTGCGCTCCGGGACACGCAGGACTCGGTCCAACCAGACGAGCTCTCAGCATAGGTCTAGAGATTGAGATGCAACCTGGGGCATGGATGGATAAAAGGGAATCATTAATGCTCGTTGAGTATGGTAGCTATTGAGATCAATTGCGCTTCGACAGGCGATCCGGCCAACAGAGCTCTACTCGGAAGATGAAACTACCATGATGCATTTTTTTAGTCAACGCGCAGGCAAATTTCAAACAAGACACTAGAAACCAGATAACGGCTTGCTCATTGAACTGGCGTGGCTTGATACTGTACGGAGAATCAATGAAACCTTCCCTGAGAAAGAACCTTGAGCTCCCGTTCTGTGGACATCCTGATTGAAAACGTAGGGTCAAACGAGAAAGATATTTGGTGCAACTGATCAATTCACCAATATGTCCTATGACGATATCTCTCTATATGCTTGTACAGGGGGCGAAACTGCCCGCAAACTCGAACCATCGACGAAACCCGCAATCGCGGTCTCACGCCACGCTCAACCGAACCGTCATAACGTCCGCCATATCAGCAATTCTCCAGCTAACAACGTCTAGTGCTTGGTAGCCTTGGCGTTGGGGTTGCGGGGGTCGTTCTTGAACTCGGCAGCTGTAGAGCGAGGGCGATTAGCATCTGAACCGTGTCGGATACGGACATTGTAGAAGGAATATATTGAACAAGGATTCTCCATGGAAGGAATCGGGTGGAGAAGAACACAATAGCGGGGCCACTCACTGTTCATCAGGGCGTTCTGGAGGGAGTTGACGCCGTAGAGGATGACCAGACCTAGAAGTATACACCATCAGCGACCTCCGACTCATGCTTGCTCGTCTTCCGGATGACACGGCATTTTTTTCGGCTTCGCGCACAACCAACGACGTTGCGTATCGACGATTGGGACTAGAAGTGCATACCGGCAGCGAAGAAGGGGCCGAGAGGACCGGCTATAAGAAACGTCCGAGTCAGTCAATCATATTCTGTGTTCCGTATGCCACACCGCCGGGGAGGGCGACAGGGAAGCCAGAGACTCACCAACGGGGGTAGGGAACTTCTTTCCGAGGAGAGACATGGTGAACAAGTTGCGTGAGTTCCGAAGCGAGATGCTGGAGGTGGAGAGAAGATAGGTATGAAGATGCAGCAGCTGATGGAAGGGGAGCGAGCAGAACGAGGAGAGGTGCGGATGCAACGAGGTTTGTCCGGAGGCCCGAGAGTCCCAAAGAGGGATAGTTTCCCCGCCGCTTTTGTCCGGCTGTTCCCCGCTAAGTAAACAGTCCAGGCAATCGATAACAAACATCCATGATCCATATGCCTGGATATACCCAATATATCTAATATCGCATCGTTGTAAGGTCAGAACTTTAACGAAATACAGAGACACAAATCAGTTGCTATGGCCGAACATCTCCAACTCTCTGTCTCCTCCCTGCAGTCCTCCCTGCAACTCCTCGACTCCTCCATCTCCACTCTCGATGCCGGTGTCAGCGACTTTCCCCGAATGGCCAAGGTCCTGCAAACCACCCGCGTAAGTCTCGCAAAACACCCTCACACCTCACCTTCCATAGAGATTTTCACCACTAACAATATCCTTCCGCGGGATCAGCACTTTGAATTACTCCCCGAACCCACCCTCCGCGAGGCCCAGCAGTCCCTCCTCGACGAAATCACCCCCAGTATCGCCCATCTCCTCCAACTAGCGTCCGACCACGTCGAGAAGCTCTCCCGGCGCGAGCAGGGACTCCGTGCAAAGTGTGAACTCCAGCAAGGCAGACTGTACTCTGCCGAGGACCGTCGTCAGCAGAAGCCCAAGCCCAGCGCTTTCGGCGACCGACAGCGCAATGCAGCCAGTAACGCTGCCAAAGCGGCGGAGCTTCGGAGGTTGGTGCAGAAGAAAGAACGCCTGCAGTACGCGGTGGAGCGGCTGGAGCTACAGGGAAAACAGAGGGAACGGCAGCTTCGCAAGAGTATGGCTTTCCAGTGAAGCTTGCGCGGAGTAGATTCTGTTATCTTCCATGGAATTCAGATGAAGGGTTGTCAACATCTGCCACTTCTCTCGAGGAGCTTGGTTGTACCACGCTTTGAGAGACTCAGGCACTGAGCTTGCTTTACTCGCGAGCTCAGGGGTGGACTAGTCTGCTATGGCGACTCTGGCTGGCCGGCCACCGCCGGCAGAATCAATGGCTTGACGGATGCCTTGAGCCCCTTGACCGGGTCTTGCATGTGTCATGAATGCCACATCTGGTCATGACAAGGCGGCAGCAAGCAATCGGCACTGAAAAAGCCTATCAGGTCAATAGTGTGGAAACGATGACCTGCTTCAACGCCTCGACCGAATTGTCTCCCAGGCATGACTATACGAGACAAGGCCGAACGAAATTATGATGGGTGAGATTTGAAATGGAGAGTATGCCTATTGAGTGAAGAGCTCGACTATGATAGCTAATATCAACACAAAGACCACATATTGTACACATGAAAATATACAAGATTTATGCAAGTTTGCTCCCGAACCGTAGATGATATCCGCAGCCTGGCGGCCGAATCCCCCTAATGCGCCCCCAACCATGTAAAAGGAAATATATCCCAACCCAGAACCCCGACATACGACAAAAGCGTGACACCTACGCGTCGTCAATCTTCATCTGGTTGTAATGCTGCCGAACCTTCTTCTTATCTTGGTGCTTCTTCCAGCTGGGGATCTTCTCCCCCTTCTTCCTCTTGGGGATGAGGAGTTCCGGCCTGCGGTTGTTCGCAGCAGCATCTGCATCCTCCTCTTCCTGCGCTGCCTTGGCCGCCTCCCTAGCAGCAGCTCGCGCCTCCAGCCTGTCCTTCTTGCTCATGCCACGTTGCTCCCCGGTCTTGACCTTGCGATCGATCTGCGTCTTCGACCCGAGCGCCCACAGGTCTCCCCATTGAGACTTGCGCACGTCGCGGTACGCCTGACGGCTGAAGGAGCGGGGAACGGTCCAGCGCTCGATCTTCGCGTCGGGAGTGCAGATGTCAAAGGTGACATGCCCGCGACGCTTGATGGGCGGATAGACGATGCGCGGCAGAGTCAGCGGCTCGAAACGGGCCTCGTCCTCCGCAAGCTTCTGCTGTTCCTCCTCGGTCATAGCCGCCTTCGTCTCCTCGTCGGGCCACAAGTGTTCGTAGCCCTTGGCGGCATGGTACTTGGCCACGCGGTCCTGCTTGAAGCCTCTTTCCTCGCGCAGATCGACACCACGCTGGACGACGAGGTAGCTGTACCGCAAATCCTCGTGGTTGTGGTTCTTGGCATCGATGATGCGCTGGAGGAAGGGAGGGCGGATGTACCGTTGCCGGAAGTGACACCAGTCACCGCGCCCGACCGAGTGGCCAGGGATCTTGTACATGGGGCATTGAGCATGGTTGGTGCAAGGCGCAACAATCATGCCGGGTTCCTTTTCCAGTTCCAATTCATCGTCCTCCTCGTGCGCCTTCGAAGTGGTGTCTTGTTCTGAAGCAGCGAGATCAGTATTGCGGATCACGCGCTTGAGCAGCATATCACGGGCTCCAGCGACGGCCTCAAAACCTCTTTGATGGCCCTTCTCAAGGAGAATGAGAATTCCACCGTTGGGGTTGACGAGCTGCCAAAGGTTCTGCACATGCTCCTTGCGCAGGTACTCCTCCTCGATCGGAAGAATGGAGTGGGGCGCAATGACGATGTCGAACTGTTTCCGCTTTGGGGCCCTGTCATCGTCCAGCGTCGGTTTTTCACGAAGGTGGACGTAATCTGGCAGTCGTGGTAGGAAGGTGGTGTTGTCCAGAAGTGCCGCAGCGCGATGGCGAAGACTGTTAGATCCCACCACCACGGTCGACTTGCCCAGCGGGGTCTCGGAGTAGGGACGCTCGGGGTCCATCGCCTCCCACTCCGCACGCATAACTTCCCTCCATGCAATGATACCAGCACCTCCTGCACTAGCATCAAGAACGCTCGGACCGTCTTCTTTGTTCATCAGGCCCCGCAGCCAATCGGTGCCCAGTCGCTTGCGGACTTCGACCAAGACACTCAGCACTGAGGCATAGAATCCAGGATACATGGCCGCAAGGTAGACATTGGCCTCCATCTCACTCATATGACGCTGCGAAGCCTCCAAGGGACTCGGTAACTGGGGAGCTTGAACCGATCTCGGGGGAGTCGTGACGGACAGAGGAAGGAACCGGCCTTTGAAGACACGACGAGCAGTTTCCTGGATATGCTTATTCGCGAAATCCCCCAGGATTGTCGAGATGGGTTTCACCAAAGTGTCGCTTGGCGGGAAAACAGTGCTGGGCTTCGTTCCAGATTTGCCCATCTCCGTCGCGGGGTGATACCTCAGGCTATCATCACCATCAGGCACAGCTTCGTCCTGGTACTGCTCGAACATGATTTCTCCGCCGAGCTGCTCGGCAACCTCGCGCGTGCGCTGCATGGCGATGGTCTCCTCTGCCTCGGGCCCAGCCTCCATGTCATAGACAACGGGAATTCCATCATCTTCCTCTTCTCCTTCCTCATACTCAGCCTCCTCCTCGAGCATTTCAACCTCTTCCCAGCCCCCTTCTCCATCTTCGCGGTACAGTTGATCGCCCTCTTCCTCTTCTTCCACAGCTTCAAGCTCGATATCGGGTCGAATGCTATCCACGTCACGGTAGATCGGTTCACCGTAGAGCCGGACATAGAGTTCGGTTTCGCGCGTGTTTAGGTAGTCGGGTGGTAGATATTCGCGGAATTCCTGTCTCGCCATGCGCACCCGGCCTTCCAAAGTCTCTTGGTCCCGGTGGCCGATCGTCTGGCTAAATGCGTGCTCATACTCCAGACCGTCAAGGCGAAGAGCTTGGTCGAAATCGTCGAGCAAGTCCAGATCCTCCATGAGGTCGGCCATGACGGCTTCGTTTCGATTGATCTCGTCAATCAGGGCGTAGACGACATCCTTCCGGTCCGCATGTGTAGCATCATCGGGCACGGCGAGCGTCGCAGAGGACGAGCACCTCGTTGAGCCAATCGTCAATTGTGCAAGTCGGGGAACTACCGTTGCTCCCGGGCGCTTGTCGAACATCTTCGAGAGCGATGGGAGACATCTCCTTGCATTCGTAGTCTTCTTGTTGACCGCGAAGCTTGCTGCTCCGCGGCGGAGCTGTTGTTGTTGTTGCGTGCTGAATTGCGGCGTTCTGCTGGCTGCAGCGCGCAACCACCCATAAGGGTATGAGCGGCTCGCCCGTGTCGCCGGAGATCTGGACAGCATCCTCACCCGTCCGCGACTCGAAAAGTGAAGTACAGAAAGGATTGTACCTGGGGAAAAAAATTGTTACCTTGCCACCCTACCTCCGACTTTGTTGCACGGAAAACTCGCGCCAAGCCACTGGAAATTCCTTGCGTCTCATTGGTGTGTGCAGCGGATAGATATCTTACGTAATTCGATCTAGACTGGAGTAACTTCACTAAGGTATCTTGGACGATTAATATACAAAGTACAAGGGTGGAAACAATGCCAGTTAAATGGCTGAGCTTTCTACACGGCTGAGTAGCTAGGAGTCACTGTCGGTGTCTTCGTTTCCCATCAGGACCTTTAAGGCTGAAATCCATTTCTGAATCTCGTGCTCCAGGGCAGTCAACTTGGCCATAACTGCCATCAGGCTCGGGTCCTGGCTTTCTACTCGGACTTTCTCTTTCACCTTCACTTCGTCTCCTTTCCAGGTGAACACGTCGCCAGCTTCGTCATGAGGCCGATGGCGGGTGCCAAAGAGCCGGTCTCTGATGTTGAAGCCGGTGAGAGAGATGTCACTGGCGAACGCTGTAGGCGTATGGGTTGGAGTGCTAGACTCGAGGGTCCGCAAGTGTAAGACCAATGCAGAATCGGCAATGGTGAGATGAAAAGATAGACATGGTGGTAGAGCAGGGTCGAACATCTGCCGGGACCGATATCAGTCACCCAGGGACGATCCCGCAGCGAAAGCACAAAGTCACTCACATTCTCTCCCGCACTTGCCTCCCACCATTTCTGTTTGACTTTGTCACTCTCACCCTTTAACATCTGCCGTGCCTCGGTGATGGTCTCACGCAGGAGATGTAATTGGCTAAAGATAAAGCCAGCGTTGAGTGGATCGCCAGTCCATGTACTAATATCTACGATATCCAAGCTCTGGTTGACCAGGTCCCTCACGGAGACCAGTTGATCGAGCACAAGCTCCGGAGCATCAGGGGCATTGGACAGGCATAGGCGGGTGTTGGCCGACCCCCGTGCTGAGGCGAGAGAACTCAGACGCAGTTGGATATCCTGTCATGTCAGGCACGATCAGTACGTGGTCCCCAGCATGTCGATTGCAGCAAGCAAGGTATGACGATGCATTGCCGATCAATCGAAATAGAGTTATCGCATCGATTGAGGAGGACCGAAAATTGGGGGAAGAAATGACATACGCCTTTGACAATTTTGGTCCCAACCCGGGTTACGTAGCCTTTCACATTTTCAGACCGAAGGGATGACAGCACTAAGGTTGAGCCCGGCTCTTTGGCTGCCAGCAAAGCAACACACTCATGTAAACCTTCCCGTAACGAGACGAGGGACTCCTGTAGGGAGCGTAAAAGCCACTCCAATTCCTTGGCCTACATTCAATCAATGAGTGAACAATCAATGCTTTGCCCCTTTATAATTCTATGCACAGTAGTGGTAGGTTAGGATAAGCACTGATAGGGTCATACCAACGTGGATTCCACCTCCTGTTCCAGGCGCCCTGGTGGGAGAGGTGGGTAAGCCCAAGTGGCCATAGTGAGATCCGTCTGACAGCTAAAAAATTCCACCAATGTTCTAGGGCTTGGCTCCCGGGGAGATGCGGAAGTGCTTAGGGTTCTAGGAGCGCATCTGTCGCAGAGCAATTGTGTTATGAACTAACAGGAGGGGGAGGAAAAGGGAGGGTAAGGGTCAGGCAGCAGAATTCAGCTCTGGACCTCGAAAGAAACCGATGATGCAGTAGGTAGTAGTCGACAGAAGAAAATTTCCGCACTAGCCCGTCCAGACGATCCACGTCGAGAGGAGTTGGGGTACCCAACTCAGTGGGTAGTGCAACGTTTCTGGTGGTGGTGGAGGAGATGTGAAGTCGCAGCTATTGGGAGAAGCTGGCAAACGTCATGGACATCCGAAGAGGTGAAGTCGAACTGCCTCGATCGGGGTTAGTGTAGTACTAAAGTTTAAACTAGCCGAGGCCAGTTAGCGGGGCCTGCTGCAACCATGACGTCGACTCCGTCACTCACTCTCTTTTTTCTACCACTTACTATCACTCACTACTAGTATTCATGAAGAACAATCCCGATCAGTGCCTGCGGATGAAGAACGCCGATGATGATGCATCCTCATGATTATATCACTACCCCCCCCCCTGAGGGTCTGTCCCCTCCCCCGCTTAGAAGGGACACACCAACCTAGACGAGACCTTTTCGGATATTATAATACTACCACACCTTCTCGCCAGACAGACCCTTTCTCTTCTGCACTTCATCTATTACTCTCTCTCCCCTAAACTGATACCCCCTCCCAACCACCAGGCATCTGCAGCTCAGTAACCTATCAGGCCTCTCATCAGGCTTCTATTCTATACTTCATTGACGAAAATCTCCAAATACTCAAATAAGCCCGAAGACGCGAAACCACAATCTAGATTCACAATGGTGCTCAGCAGTATGTCCACCACCCACCCCAGCCCTATGAGGCCCACTTGCGAACTACCTAGCGCACGGAGACTAATTTTCGCATCAATGTATAGGAGTGGCATTGGGCTTTCTCGGCCTCTTCTTCACAGCAGGAGCTCTTCTGCTCATGTTCTTGACCCTCCTGGGCGGTGCCACCAATACCAATCCCCTGAACCAGATCTACTTCCTGCAGGTCGACACAAGCAACATCCCGGGGGCGCCCTCGCTGTCCCGCTGGACTTTCTGGCAGCTATGCGCCGTTGTCAATGGCAAAAGTCAATGCGGATCGTCTCACCCGGACTTCCCCTTCGACCCCCCAAGCTCCCGTAACTTCGACACCACCGTGAACATCCCCGCTGCCTTCATTGGGTAAGTTCTCTCTTCATTGAACAGGCTGCTTTCTTCGAAGAGACGGAGCTAACCTCATCCCTAAGAACAAACCACTACTTCCTCACCTCCCGGTTCTCATTCCCCTTCTTGATCATCGCCCTATTTTTCGGCGTGGTCTCCCTCTTTACCGGCTTCCTCGCCATGTGCACCCGTATCGGCAGCTACCTGTCCTCCTTGATGGCTTGGATCTCTCTTACCTTCCAGATCATCGCTACCTGCTTGATCACGTAAGTAGTCATTCCCCCAAATTGTAAAGCAAGCCTCAACTTGCTCGAAACCAAGATCAAAATCTAACCTGTGGAAACCAAATCAGTGCCGTCTACGTCCAAGGCCGTAACAAGTTCAACGCCAACAACCAAACCGCCCGCCTCGGGGTCAAGGCCTTCGCCTTCATGTGGACCGCCGTCGCCTGTCTCTTCCTCGCCTGCCTGACGTACTGCATGGGCGGTGCGGCCGGTCGCAAGGAGCGTGGTCGCGGCTACAGCGGTCGTGAGCACCGCCGGAGAGGGTTCTTCTCGTCTGCTCGTTCCAACAGCCTGAGAAGCAACAAGGAGACTGCTGCTTAAATTGGCCAGTCCACGGCCGTTGTCGGGGTCCCTCCGTGGAGATAAAAAAAGGCTAAAACAGTACTATCGGTCTTGCCAGGTGAAATGGGACGTTGCTGGTTCTCTCAGTCTCTTGCTGGGAGGGTTGCGTGTACCGCGACTGAACAACCAGGTTGCCTGACATTGCCCCTGCCTGTTTTTTTTTCGTCTTTCATTTTCTCCCTCCTGATGGCGGCAAGATTGATTCAAGACTTATGTGAATCTCGCTTACGTGTGATTCCCTGATGCCATGTTATGCACACACTTGACTGTTCTGACTGTATACCATCATTCATGACCTGGTGGGCTCATTAATTCTAATAATTCCTGTCCGTGATTTGTCGGAGCTTGTTTGGGGGCGGGTGTCACTTTGATAGCCGACCTGTACTGTGTATCTGTATGCTATCTTCGCTTACTGTTGTTACACTACATTTACATTGAGTAATTGTAATATAGCCTGTTCGAAAAGGAAAGCACTGGATTATGAGTAAGGTGCCATGAGTGACTACGTAGCGTCAAGGTATTTTCAAGCCGTACATGGCGCGTGCGAAAGACATTAGTAGCAAGATCCGCAAAATCTATCAATTTCTATTCCGCGTCACTGCAGTTCTCTCTATATACTTTTCGAAAGTCTTCATGAATACATTCGTCATCAAAAAGTCATGGCAAAGCAGAACACAGAATTAGGTGCCTCTTCAGAATGGGAACTGGATTGATATCTTGAGACGTGGTTCATAAATTTTTGCGGGGCATAAACCAAGGGTGAAAAAAATGGATGGGTAATATCCGGCAGGGGAAACCAAGCAAGTGAGATTCTAAATTGATTCATGTAGAAGATGCAACGTAAAAATATTTTGATAACAGATTCATAACTCAGAGATGGGCGATCTAGGCCTTGGGGGCCTCAACGGCACCGCGGACGGCGCTTTGGCCGCCAACTTCCCGAGCGGTGATCTGCAGGCCAAGGTCCGCATCAACGTGGATCATAAGCTCGACCTTGCTGCCGGCCTTGACGCCCTTGACGGCCAGCTCAGCGATAGGCTTCTCGGTCTTCCAGACGATCTCACGGATCTCCTCCTCCTCCTCATCGGAGTCGGAGAAGTCGGAGTCATCCTCATCAGCCTCGGGCTTCTCCTCCTTAGGCTTGGGCTCGGGCTTGGTGACCTTGATCTCACGAACACCCTCGCAGACGCGGATCAGAACATCACCTCCCTCCTTGGGAGCAGAGAACTGAGCAAGACGGCGAGCGGGGAGAGCGGTCTCAACGTGGAGGAGGGCCTTGAAGTCAACGGCCTCGCCGGAGCTGACCTCAACACCAATGGCATTCTGGAGATGGGGGGTGGCGGTAACCATAGGGTGGATGGACTGCTCAATGTCCTCCTTGTCGAACTCCTGGATCAGGGAGGCCTGGATGGCGGCACCACGGGGAGCAAGCTCAGAGGGGTTGATGGCAGCAGTGAAGGTGGAGGGGGCGAGGATGGCGGTCTTCTCGGAGAAGATGTTGCGGGCCAGCTGGGCGATCTTGGGGGTGTGGGAGGTACCACCAGCAAAGATGACCTGAGGGTATTTAGCGTCAGAACGATCGGTCTCAGGCCAAGGAGCAGATTAGGACAAACCTCATCAATATCCAGAACGTCGAGGCCGGCCTTCTTCACAACCTGCTCGATCAGAGCGGTGAATTGAGCGAAGACCTTGCCGGAGAGGAGCTCGTAACGAGTGCGGTTGATGGTGGAACCATAGTCGATACCATCGGCAAGACTCTCGATGCTCAGGGTGGCGTTGGTACCCAGGCTGAGAGCACGCTTGGTAGCCTCACCCTCAAGCTTGAGCTTGGCGAGTCCACGGGCGTTCTCGCGGGGATCGGTCTTGTGCTTCTTGATGAACTCCTTGGCGAAGTGGTCGATGACGATCTTGTCCAAGGTGGCACCGCCCAGCTCGTAGTCGTGGGCAGTGGCCAGGATGGTGTACATACCACCACGGCAAGCAACTACGGTGGCATCGGAGCGAGTACCACCAAGATCGGCGACGACGGTGAGCTTGTCAGTGACGACAGCCTCGGGGCGAGCATCGTAGGCCAGGACAGCAGCAACGGGCTCGTGGATGAGCTGGAGAACCTCCAGACCAGCAGCGTTGGCAGAGGCGATCAAGGCCTCACGCTGGGCATCGTTGAAGTCGGTGGGAACAGTGATAACAGCGGCGTTGACCTCCTTACCGAGATAGTCGGAGGCGGACTGCTTGAGACGGCGCAGGTGACGGGTGGCAATCTCAGAAACGGTGACAGTGCTGGGGGTCTCGCTCGTGGTGTCGCGGATGGAGAAAGCAACGGTTTCATCGTGCTGCTGGGGGTGGGCGGAGTTGTGGCAGGGGGTAGCGTCTATCGACTTGAAGCTGCAAATCTGTCAGTCTTCCAATTCGACTTGGAACATGAAGTGGAATCAATTACTTCTTGCCAAGGTAGTCTCTGAAGTAAGCAACAGTGTTTTGCGAGTTGCGGATAAGCTGGTTCTTAGCCTGGGCACCGTGGTACTCCTCGCCATCGATGTAGGAAAGAACAGTAGGGATTTGACGATCTGTAAAACGGTGAGTCCATTGTCTTTTAAGCACGATGCGCTACCGGGAGCGATGAGCGAAAATGGGAGAGATTAGAACTGACCTCCCTCCTCGTTGGCGATGACCTCAGCCTTGCCCTCCTGCATGACGATAACATTAATATCAGTCTCCGAAGATGATGGTGCGCCATAGTGCTGTTCGAAAACGTAGGATATCTACATAAGTCGAATGGCTAGAGGATAGGTTTAACGTACAGGGTTGAGGCGGGCGATAGAGCTGGAAGAGTTGCCAAAGGAGATACCGATGGCGAATCTCTCGGCAGCGCCGTTAGTCTCGGAGCTCATATTGTGAGATGTATGAGAGAACTGGGAAAAAGAAAAGAAGAAAGAGGAGAGCAGCGATCCCAAAGGAAGACGGAGATAGAGAGAGAGAGAGAGAGAGAGAGAGAACGGAAGGGAAATTGAGAGGGAATAATATTGAGGCTGTTCCCGCGCCGCTTTCCTTCGCCCCGAGGAAAAAAAATTTGGCTCGTTTGCAATTGGCGGGCAGTTGTGGCTAGTGCTTATCGATAGTCAATGTGGCGGTAGAGCAGCCACACCCGTGGCTACTTGTACAGTACAACTAACATGGGGGGCACAAGAGGGACATTGCCTTGATCTTTTGTATTCAACTTGAGCTAGGCAAGCATAACAACAGAATAACTTTGGAATCAAAAGATACTATCCTTCAGGTTTCCCCGATCATCGTGGCATACCACGTTATTGCGCAGACCCAAAGACTTGAAACACCATACATCACGTGAAGATAAAAACTCCAGACGATAAACTCATGTGGGCGATTTGCGCTTCCTTTTTCCTTGCATTATTGCGACCAGCCAAACTTCCCTCATCTACACTCTTTCACCTCGTCCTCCTCCCCCTCTCAATTCCAACCCCGCAGTCATCTCACCTGCGAGGAAGCATATACGAACCATGTCCTCCCCTCTCGTCCTCCTCCCCGGCGACGAAATCCCGTCCGAATACCTCCCCTCCACAAGTTCCGCGCCATTGAGGTTGGGCGCAGGACTCCGTTTGCTCTCGCAACCACATCCAACCACGAAATCCTCATCTACTCCCAGCCATGTCCTGACCGCCACCCAGGCCGGAATCCTCTCCACAGACAACAAACGCAACGCCGTTTCGATTCTATCCTCCCCGCATCGCCGCTACATCCCCACCGCCAACGACTTGGTGATCGCGCAGATCCACCACTCGAGCCCCGACTACTTCCACTGTATGATCACGCCGCAGGCACCTCATGCGGTTCTGGGCCAGCTTTCGTTTGAGGGCGCGACGAAGAAGACCCGGCCCATGCTGAAACAGGGCGATCTAGTGTATGCGCGGGTACTGTCTACGGGGCTCGGGGCGGGTGCAGAGGTCGAATTGGCCTGCGTGAACCCGGCCACGGGCAGAGCGGAACCGGGTGGTCTAGGTCCTTTGAATGGGGGGATGGTGTTTGATGTGTCGACGGGAATGGCTGCTCGGCTGATGAAGGCGAGCTCCTCATCGACAGGCGAACACCAGCAGGAGGGGGTGGCCGGGTTGGTGGTGCTGGATGAGCTGGGCAAGAAGCTCGAGAAAGCCGGAGGGTTCGAGATTGCCATTGGCAGGAATGGCAAGGTGTGGGTGGACTGTTCAAACTCGGGAGACGCCGCTGTCAAGGCAACGGTAGCAATCGGTCGATGCTTGACCACGCTTGACCAGCATGAGTTAACGGCCGCAGACCAGAAGAAGCTGGTGTCGAGGGTGTTGCGCGAACTGAAGATCGAGGTGTAAAACTCCCCTCCCCTCGGGGCGTTTTTATGTGTGTGACGATAGACTTGATGACATTTTACATTCCATCCACCTCAGATAATATCATCCTGTAGCTGATTCCTATACTATATTAAGGTGTACTGCCGAGTGGTGGTGGGCGGATGCAGATTGCCGGGCGGGATTCAGCGCTGGTTGACCGCCAGCGCTGGGAGAAAGAAACAAGAAGCTGGATTGAAGCGAACCACGTAAAACCAGTTGGCGCACCAGTTGGCGCCCGCCCACGCTGCGAAAGAAAAAAGCTTCACTCCGCAATTTTTCCCTTTCTTTCTCTGAGGTCAATTTTCACCTAACACCTTCCCCTGTTCCCCAGTTTCGACCTTGACCTGTTCTCTTCTCCCATTTCCCTTCTCTGCTGTCAATCTTTTGACACTATTGTTGTTATTCTCACCGCCCTTCTAGGCTTTCTTCAAGTGTCTTTTAAGAATTCGCCAACTGGTGAGTTTATTTTCCCCATTCTTTCCCAACTCCCCTACCCTGACAAGGATGGGTCACTCATCCTCCCAGCCAGCTCCTGAACCTGCTCCTGGGCTCAACGAGGGTATGTACCTGTTCTTGAATGGACTCGTTCTATTCCAACATGTGCAGAATACCTCCGCGCGCGTTCTATCTTCGTTCAGTAGCTGGACTCCCAGGTCGATAGCAAGGCTGACTGACTCTTGATCTTCCGGTTAAACCAGACAATAGCGAGGTGACCCCGAGTCCTCCGTTTAACACATCCGTGCTCAATCAAGCCAAGCAAATCCTGCAGTCGGGTGCTGAGATGCCGCCTGCCAAGCGCAAGAGAAATGGTGCGCCCTCGACTGCCACCCCCAAAGCCGTAGGTAGAGTCGGCTTTGTCCCGCAATCCCCTCAAACACCACTCGTCGCAAGCACGCCTCTCGCAGACTCGGTCTCCCACTCCGCGAAACGTACGAAGCTGGGCAGTGACTCTACGAAGAAGAAGAAGCAAAGCCACCGCCACCGCGAGCAACGCGAAGGATCAGAGGAGCTCCCGTACACCAGCAGCCCGGTTTCTGCCAAGCGGACTTCCACCGCGACGGTCAACGGCCACCATGCGCTGCCAGTGCCAGAGACGCCTGAACCCGAGATTCCGATTGATCCAGCTCTGACGGGCGAGCCCGTCATCACTTCGAAGGATCACGACCAGGTTATGCAAGATGCCAGCGGAACGGGCGCCTTGACCCCTGCGGCCCAGACGCAAGATGCGACGCGCGAGTCATCGACGTACAGTGCGTCGGCCCGGCAGTCGAAGCTAAACAAGCGCGCGCAGAACGACCGTCGCAGCTCCTCGGGAAAGACGGGCTTCTTCACGCCGAGAGAAATCGAGAAACTCGAGGCTTTCAAGCTGACATTCTGCACCATGCACGGTGTGGAGGCGGATGTCTTTGACAGCATGGTGCAGCACTCCGCAGCGGATCGGCAGGAGCAGTGGCCTGTCCACACCAGTATTATCACGAAAGTGGATTTTTGGAAGCAAATCTACGAGGTCCTTCCGGACCGGGACAGGCGATCCGTTTACAGGTTCATGAGGCGCCATTTCCAGTGTTCGACCCAGAAGCCCCACCATTGGACGCACGAGCAGGACGAGGAGCTCATTTCGCTGCACCGACTGCACGGACCCAAGTGGGCCTACATTGCGAAGATGATCGGCCGCAGCGACGATGATGTGGTCCAGAGGTGGAAGAACCGCCTGGAGCATCGTCACACGATGAATCATGGTGCATGGTCGGAGGAAGAGATAAAAGCTCTACTGGATGCGCTGCAGGAAGCATGGCATTCCTTGAGAGCTGGCGGTGTAGAGGTTGGTCAGGATATCTACGAAATGGACGAGTTCGCTGTCGCATGGGGCCAGATCAGCAACAAGATGAACAACTGCCGTTCCCGCCAACAGTGCGCGGATAAGTGGAGGAAGCTCCGGAACAAGATCCTTTCCCAGCGGGTGGGGGATGACTCCGATGCAACCCCTAGCTCGGCGATCAAGAAGAAGTCCGATGGCAGCCGCCGAAGGAAATCGCAGGCAAAGAGTACGGCCAAGTCCAACGAAAAGTTCAAGAGCAATGAGTTTGTGGATTCGGATGATGAAGCAGCCAGCCCAGAAGCGCGGAGAACGGCGGAGAAGAAAGAAACGAAACAAACTGAGCCGGAGGCAGAAGAAGATGATGAGGACGACGAAGAAGAAGAAGACGAATCGGCCGAGCCAGCAGTTCCCGTTAAGCATGAAAGGCACTCGATGGAGCTGGATGATGCGGCAGTTCCACCCCCTTCCAAGCAACCCACCGGAGCCATGCGTCAGATCACCAAAACCGACTCGCGCGAGGACACTGCCGCCTCCACATCGTCTGATGAAGAGGAAGACTTGGACGAAGAGCTAGTTGACACGGCCGCCAAGCAGGAGCGTGCATCGGAGAGCGAATCGGAGGAGGAGGAGGAGGAGGAGTCCCCTAGCCCTAACTCCAAGCGGGACGTCAAAATCAACATCATCGATGACGAGGCTGAAGACGAAAGCGAAAATGAGAGCGACGAGGAGGAGGAAGAGGAGGAAGAAGAAGAAGACGAGGAAGAGGAGAACTATTCCACCCCTCCGAGCGGAAAACGAACCACCATCCGCGCCGCCTCCCCTAGAGTCACCTCGCCCAGCGCTCTCAAGAAGTCATCCCAACAAAGCAGCAACAGCACCAGCAAACCCCGAAGCCCCGAAGTCGCAGTCAAGTCTCGCAAGTCTCCCTCCCCGACCGCATCGGCTTCCTCGTCGGAGGACGAAGAGGAGGAGGAGGACGACGAGGAAGAAGGCGGACGAAGCGACAGCGAAACCAGTAGCACCGGGGGCGACTGGCCCGCCAAACCGCCTGCCCCAAACACTGCCACCAGCGCAAACACCCGCAAACCCTCCGGGGCTGCTTCCTCCTCCGCCAAACCCACGACGACGACGACCACCACCACCACACGAGCCACCCGCTCCACCCGCTCCAACCCTTCCTCCCAACAACCCGTCCGCGAACCCGAAACCGCCTCCACCTCCTCCTCCGCCTCCGAAGATGACGAACCCGCTTCAAAGCAGCACCAACAACCCACCCGCCCCGCCATCCCCACCCGCCCATCCTTCGGCTCCAGCTCCCAACCCACCCGCCCGGCGGGCCAACGCTTGAGTATCAAGGAACTCAAGGATGTCAGCGTCCGTCAGGCAAATAACAAACTCAAGGCCCCCAAGCCCAGCACCTTCGATGACATCGTCGCCGAGGCCAGGAAGCGTGCCAAGGCGGATTCTTCCTCATCCTCGTCCTCCTCGTCGGATGATGATAGTGATAATGAGGACTCCGAGTGAGAAGGATGGATGGCTTGTGTCTGACGAGACTGAAAGTAGGGTCCTAGTTAGAGAATTTCGGCGTTTAGTACCAGACTGTATCCCAGGTGGGTGCAAATGGGAAGAAAGGTTTAGAAAGTTTTAGGAGGTAGTGTGAAGATGGAAGTGGTTGCTCTGAATACCTGTGTGATGTTAGTTTTTGACACAAGGGATGCATGCATTCTTTTGCCTTGATGAGTGTCCGGAGGTGCTGGTAGATATCAAGCGTTTATCTGGACAGAGTTGTATGTCTATGGTCTAGCCGGGATTGGAAAGGGAACAACATGACGAATAAAAATGGGAATAAATGATGCAACAGCTACATGCATATACTATAAACAGCCTGATTCCGCTCTTCTAGAGCTCATCTTTATTCCATCCCTCATCATCATCCGCAGCAGCAGCAGCAGCAGCAGGTTCCTCTTTGACCCCCTCCGCTTCCTGCTGCAACTTGAGCCGTCTTCCCAGTGCGGCAATCTCTTCATCGTACGCGGTCCACTCGGGGACCTGCCGCCGAGCCCGCTCGAGCTTGGGCTCCTTGGTCAACGGGTTGTTGCACAGGTCAATGGTGCGGGCCTGGGCCAGGGACTCATCGGAGCACCAGGTCTCGCACCAGAGCCACTCCTGCGGCAGGCTCTTGATGGGTATGTAATGCTGCATGTGGTTAGGCAGGTCCTGGTCGAGGTTGCTTAGGCTGCCAGGGTCGGCGGAGAGCATCTGGTACTGGCCGCGCAGGCGGTCACCGGCGGCCAGGGCGCGGAAGCGGCTGAGATCGACGACGTACAGGGCCGAGATGTGGTAGGGCTGGCCCCGCAGGAAGTTTTTCCAGTATCCCTGCTTCCAAAAGCGGAAGCCCTCCATCTCGTGACGCGAGTCACACATGGGGGTGAAGCCGTAGGGGGCGCCCTCGAGGTCCAGCGAGACGAGATCGTACATGTCGGTGCGGACGATCTGGTCCGCGTCCACGAAGATCACCTTGTCCAGGCTCAAGGGGAAGAGAACGTCTAAAAACAAGATCTTGTAGCCCCAGATCTCGCGCTGTTTCTCCGTCTGGGCGCGCAGCCAGTGCGGCCACTTGTAGGTCACCATTTCGTAGGAGAAACCGTACTCGGCTGCTAGGTGCGGCAGGAAGGACTTGAAGGACGGGGAGAGGAATTGCTCGATGAACCAGAACTTGACGCTGTGTTCGGTGTTGCGCATGACGGAGACCATCATGATGTTGAGCATTCGTTCGTAGAGGTGCCCGCTCGCAACGGAGAAGATGTTAATGTCGGCTTGTTTGCCGCTGGCGGCATCCTTGGGTGAGCCGTTGATTCCCACGCTGGAAAGAATGTCGGAAGCGAAATTGAGGCCCTTGGATACATAATCCCTGGCGCTGCCGGATTTAACACCCGTCTCCAGCACATCTTCCATTTCCTGGCCCTTCTTGCGGGAGAGACGAGGATAGAGAATCTTGCCCTGGAAGGAAAGAAGAGCAACTTCGTTACTCGTGTCGTCGTTGGAATGGAGACTGTAGCCTTCATTTCCAAGGCTGTCCAATCGGAAGATCTGCTCGCTGCGACCGGGTTTGAGGTTGATTTCCCAGAGGCCCGGCTGGGCCTTGAATTGGAAGTATCCCAGATTAGCCATGATTATGGTATCCGAGATTTGGGGATTCTCTTCAGTTCCTAGAATGAGCTGGACTCCCCTCGGTGGTGTTTTCGTCGTGAGATCTCGAGAGTGGCCTTCAATCAAAATATGCTCCAGAGCGTAGATTGCATCCACATCCGTACCCTCTTTCACTGAGCTCAACTTGATGTTGTCAAGATCGTAAACGGAGTCTTTGGGAGCCACGAGCCACGAGGATGGAACATCCATACCCAACGTAAGAAGTGCTTCAACAGGCACACCAGAGAAAGAGGCAGTAGGACGAGCGACAGATCCGTCTTGGTTGAACGAAGGCTCCGAGTCCAACACGTAGCGATAGAATCGCTTAGTCGGCAGTTCCTGCAGTTCGTCTCGGGGGTTGAGGACGAGGCGCATTCTCACATTGGCCAATTCCGAGAGCACCTTCAAAATAGGCAACCACTTCTGAGCGACGTCCGAGGTCGGATCAATAGACGCCACGATAGTGATTGCAGGATCATCCGAGTTGGAAACAGTGACTACGGAACGCGACTCATCCCACCGCTCAAACAGGTTCACACGGACATCAGGTGTCGATTCATAGATGCCCTCTGGCACATCGGAGACGGTGGAAAGGGCCGCGAGGGAAGTGAGCTTCGCAAGGGCAAGAGGATCACGCAGCTTCGCATCAAATCCCAATGCTTTAGCAGCTTTGGCGACGGGAGCGACGCGCTTCTGCTTCTCATAGGCCAACAGCTGGTCAAGGTCCTCCGAGGTTAGCTTGATGTCGACTGGCAATGCAATGACTCTTCCATTGACAATGATCGCATTTGCACCAGGTGCAAGTCCTAGTCCCTTGACCAATGGCTCGTGAGCAGCCCAGAAGTCATCGACTTCCTTTCTGTCCTCACGAAGCCATGCATCGGTTCCAGTGATCTTCTCCAAGAGTTGTGCGGCATCAACACTATCTTCCTTCTTTAAATAACGATGAATGGTGTAAGACCCTGTCCAAATAGTGGCATTTGGACCAGAATTGTGAAGGAGCAGCACTTCCGCTTCAGCATGATCTTTAAGGCTTCCGAGCGCTGCGGTTAGCAGTTCAAAGCCAGGTTCATCGCTGAAGTCACCCACAACTATCACATGATTGCTAGCGAGCACATCGTCCTGCGTTGATGGTATGCGAGGGACGGAGTCGAGAAGCTCGCCATGCGTCTCTCCAACATGCGCCATGTCGATAATCCGGACGTCCTTAGGATCTTCGGGGACGATGACAGGGTTGCGTCTGTCAAAAGCATCAGAGAGAAACAGCCCAGGTAACCATGTATCTTCGGCAAGTTCTCCGTCAGCGATCGACTGTTGGATTGCCTGAATATCGCGGCTGACTCTAGCGCTCAATTCCTGCGCCCAGTTCTCTTTACGAGGAATCGGGACACCGTTCACAAACGAGTGGGACGCATCGTCTGTCACACCAAGACGTTTCAAATAGCCACTAGTCTTGCTCACTATGGTATTTAGAGCATCGTTCTCGAGCACCTCGTCCAAGGATAGAGGCTGCTTATCAGGACGAACATTGCGGTTTGCGGTGGCAGCCTGGAAGGCTGCCTTATCCGGAGTGCTTAGCTTGCTCTTGGATGCTGACTACATGGTACATTAATGCTAGTACTGGAAGCGTTTCCTGACTTTGAATGCTTACCGTTTCCAAGTAGCTCATCAAGCTGCCCAATCCAAAAGTCTCTTGCAGGTAGTGAGCAACTTTCAGCTGCGCAATCGACTTAGTGGAAGAAGGTATCGGAACCAAGCCGAATCTGACGGGGATCTTGTTCTTCACAAAGACCTGTATGGATTTGACAATAAGGTTGACGTCGTCGGCGTTGGCTAGGTTAACCGGAATGACAACGTTATTTGCTTCACGGCGAACTGAGGGCAATTGGCCAGGAAATACACGTTGCATGTACTGGCAATCATTAGCATAGCGTTCTCATCTCTAGAAGGAAACACTTACTCCGCCGAGGTCGCTTGGCCACGATTCGTAGCGTGCATCCTTTTCGAGGTCATTCAGCCACATTATCACACTGCCGCCCTCGATTTCATCCCGGTAGTTGTACCGCTGAGGACCATCCTGAACCATTGCGGCTGCCAGGAACTTGTGAGACAACAGATCCACGGACTCACTGGCCGTGAGGCCAAGATTCCGGAATTTCTCGATCAGCTTTCTCTCACGACGCAGATGATCCAAGAGAGTGAAGGCATCAACCTGTCTCGCGTCGATCTGCACGCCATTGATCCACAAGGCATTGAGTCCCGGAGGGAGCATCCGCAGCCGGCTTGATTGGATTTCTTGTAACAGGTCTCGGGTGACATTGTAGGCTGCGATCCTCGGTGAGTACTTCGGGAAGTCTTGTGACAGCTTGACCAGAGTATCTAGAGGGCTCTGGCTGTCCAGTACATAGCCAACAGTGCCCGGGCCAAGCCTTGAGACTTCCGACGAAGACAGTGGTCTCAAATCATCCAGATCATCTTCCTCCGTGTTCATGGGTATCTGCGAGCCCGAAGTATCCGAGCCTCTTTCTTCAGCGGCCCTGTCGTCGATGACAATGTAATCCGTTCGTTTCAACGCAAGTTCAACACCGTATCCCGACACGAACAAAGGACGCGAACTCCAGTGCTGCGGAGGTCTGTATCGCACACGGTACGAAAACTGTCCTTCTCTGGCAAGAGCGGTCAAAGATTGGTGAAAGTCCTTAAACATGGGAGACGCTAAGTCCGCATAGAGGATCGCTGGGGGAAGGGAAGGATCTCCGAAAACACGATCGAAGGGAAGCTCTGACGGGTCACTAAGATCGAGGCATTCAGCATAAACTCTTACCATCCGATCATACAAGACAATTTACCTCGTTCCCATCACACCCTGTTGGGCACGCTCGAGGGTAGAGGAGCAATACTGCTTGCCCTCTGCGTGGACCCAGACTGGACAGACGGCGTCTTGCGCCGCCGCCAAAGAGTGTTGCACGGAGGCATTGTAGTACTGATAATGAGCGGCAATCCGAGGACTTGCGGACCGTACAGCGAGCGACAATTTGAAAGACGAAAGTGCCTCAGGAGTTCTCAGGTGGCCATCAGTGTTTACCACCTCAAGGAAACGGTCATACAGCTCCTTGTCTGTCACCGCGTCATCAAAAGCTCCTTCGGCGACTCGATCGAGCAGTGGGAAGTACGATGTCGAGTTTTCTTCGGCTGCAGTTTCACTAGTCCATTTAGTGAGCGAAGGGTCCAATATGTGGGCGTTCAATGATCGGATGGAGCTGGGTTTCTCCTACAGGAGTTCAATAAGATAAGGTGCGGAATCGAAAGATGCTTGGAGAGCAACATTGACGGACGGCGTGGCGTGCGCCAAACAAGACAATGCAGAGGCGACAACGACGGAGGTTAGTCGCCAGGAGGCGACAATTGCTGAACCAGACACCATCTCCGCAGTACCTGGCAGAGGATTGGAGTCTTGGAAAGTGTCAGCTAGCTAGCTACTAACTCCACGGTTCAACCGAGCTAGCAAGCGGGCATAGCGGGTGGGGTTGAAGCCAGATTCGAGCAGCGACAGCAGAGAAAGGCCAATGAGAAAACCAGACGTCAGCCAGTATATCGAATATTAAGTAATTATTAGCCAAGCTTGAGATTTTTAGAGCAGTTGAAAGCATGGGCAAAGAACATGGCTTACACCTTGTAAAGGATTCTGGCCACTTCGCGGCGGGAGGAGCTGCTACGGCGGGCGCAGCGGCCAACCACGCAAGACTTCCGTGTCTTCTATTCTTCGCTCTCATTGGTGGAGCCAACCAGCTCCTCTTGTATGAGCACCCGGGCTGGGACAGGCCATAGCTGAGAGTACTAATGTACCTAATGATCCAGGATACCAGGATACTATGCGGGCAATTGAGATCTGAGTTCAGCTCCGCATGTCCTTGGTGTCCAGCAAATGAAAGTTGCATGTCTCGAAGGCCAACTGGAGTCCCTGCTGATCTCGCTAGGGCCATAAGGTAACGAATGCAGAGGCCCACTGGTTCGTCTGGCAAAACACTCCCCCCGGAAATGCAATGCCTGGCTTCCAGGACATTCCACGTTCGTAAAGGGCTTCTCGTGAATAACCGAGGCCGGTACAAAATTTACGCTGAGGTCGTGTGATAATGGTCCCTGGCTGATTGGACAAATTGCTCTAGTTATCTCCCACGACGCGGAAATGAGGAGTTGGACGTCTTGTTATAGAATCATTTCTTCATTAGATACATGGTCATTATCATCCGCTCCAGCCGTTGTTTGGAGTTGCCCCTGTTTCCTTTTTGGCTTTTTGCAGCAAAAGCCGTTCCCCCCAATTGTCTGCGGAAGACAGACTTCTCTCGAGATCGTTTTCCGAACGCCAGAATCCGATCTATGCCAAATCGAATCACATGAAATACTCAAAACATGATGAAAACCTTTAAGTAGAAAAAACCTTATGCACCTTGAAACCTTTGAGCCTTTGAGCTCCAATCCCCGCAAAACACCAACATGACTAACCGGACTAACTCCAAACAAGCATGAACCAGTGTTGAAAGCATCCAGGCTTTTGTCTTTCCTGCTTTTGGTTTCGAAAACAAATATATGATCAAACGCTAAAATGAAAGAGAAAAATAAGTATGTCAGCAGAAAGTACACTAGTTAGAGCAATTGCCTTAGCGCGAGTCCGTGCTAGACTGTTTGGAATGGGCTTTCTTGCGATTGGAGGCCTCCCAAAGGAGCCGCCGGCGCTTCATTTCATCGATCTCAAAGATGGACTCTTCTTCGGACCGGCTAGGCACGTTTTCCGACCGGACCGCCAGAGCACTCGTGGATCTCATCTTCTTGAGACTCTTGACTTTGCCGGACTCGCCAAGCTTGCGAAGCTCACGAGTCAACCGCTCCAGGGCAGAGCCCGATTTGTGAAGTGGTCTAGTTGACGGGGGCGGAGGCAGAGGTTTGTCCAGGATATCCTCGACTTCCTTGCTGCTCTCCACACCCGCAGCAAGGATCTTCTCCGCGGAACCGAAACTGATTCCGGAGTCGACCTTGCGACCTTTATGACCGCGGGCCTGGAGTGCGATACTCTCTTCGAAGCTGGTAAGTCCAGTGACTGTGCTACAGTCATCATAGATATCATTCGCCGCACGAAGGTAGCGATCGAGAACATCCCGAACAGCTGGCCAGCCGCTGTGTTCCCCCGGCCGTGCACCTTGAGCAATGATGTCATTTAGCACGTCCGGGCCATTGCGTCCGACTGCTGCGATATATCGAAAGAAGCCATCACGCTGAGATCTCAGATGATCAGGAGTCAGATACGAGGTCGGAGGCACAGTGGCTTCAGTGACCGGAGGGAACAATGTGTTAAGCATTGCGATACAGTTGGCCTTGTTGAAGGGTTCCAGCAACATCTCATTGATCAGAGTCTAAGACAGCTTTGTTAGGAAGAGATAGATGAAGTGGAAAGTGGAGACACATACCCAGCGACGCAGGCCAACATAGACTTGAGTGTAGAGAGCCTCAATGCGGCGGCCCTTGGCGTTGAGCGACTCGAGCCAGTTGATTACACCAGGGTGTTTCTTGGCAAAGTCAGAAGATTCCTTAACATCCTCTGGCTTCACGCCCAGTCGTTCCAAAGCGGCAGCAACCTCCTTCCGACGGCGAATCTCAAAATCCTTGAGGTAGTCCAAGGCCGTCAACGCCTGAGGAAAATCGACCTCATCCAGTTGCGGGGTGAAACAGCGACGCACAAAGGAGGTGACGAAGCTGGGAGGCAGGTTGCAGGGCTGCGATGGCAAGCGGGAGATTTGGTGGCTCAATTGAGCCCGGAAATCGGCAGCCAGATCCATGGAGTCCTGAGAGGAGGACGAGTTGGTCGGGCGATGGAAGGCTGTTTCAGGCTGACGGGTGGTGGAAGATGGTTGTCTCGTGGGGTTGCAGTTCAACGCATACATGGAACGCAACGGGATCTCGTAGGTACCGGGGTAGCGGAGACAGTGATCAAAGATCCATGTCAAAGCAGAGCCATCGGGGGCATCGAGTGGTTCCTCGGTGTGTGCCATTGTGCGGGAAGATGAGACAAGGTGGACGAGAATCGAATATGAAAATGAATTGGTGTGATTTCTGTCGTTGAGAAGCTACGAGAGGCGGATATAAGAGTAGTCCTGAAACCGAAAGGCTGGGACCAGTCGAAAAGAAGAGAGCAATCAGGGGGGATTTGTGTACGACGTGACGGTTCGTGCAGATGATTGAAAAGGGCAAGACTTGCTCGCAGTGACGGCTGGCATCAAATGCGTGTAACGTGTCTTCCCATAGCACGGATATGCGCTTGGAGATCGAGCGATCGGGGATGTAAAGTCTCCTTGGCTAGGGGAGACAGGAGCGGGTGGTTATCCCTTTGGTTTCTGATGTGTGTGAGGGGCAACCGTTCTTATGGGTATCGACCGGGCTAGTGATTCGTCCCGACGCTCCACGGAGAGCTGATGAAAGCCGTTTAGCTTTCTTTGTAAAGGTCCTAGCGATTTGGCAAGATGAAGAGTAGAATAGGCCTGGGCGGCGCGAAGATCCAACACTGGGCGTTGGAAAAGAAATCGAAGAAGATGGATTTTGGTTGCACAGGCGGGTATCGAGTTTCCCGGTTGAGGTTGCTTTCAAAGCAAACAAAATAGATAGACAAAATTGCAAGACGGAAGCTCCCAAGTGACGATGGAGCAATTTTCGACTTCGAAGTAGGTACTTTTTGCGGCTTAGACTTTTGATGAATCACGAGAAAGTTTAGGGAAGGATAGACTGGAGCTTGTTGAATTCAACAGGAAGGGAAACCAGTAGAGAGTGTGTATAAGAAAATAAGGGTGGGAACGAAGGCCAACAAGGGATGTGAGGGTGTGGGATAAGATGGATAGTAATGATTGAAGAGGATATGGTAGAGGAGAGAAAGGGAAGGAAGATGTGATGTCTGCCCTGGTATATCTGGAACAAAGGAGGACAGACGATCAAGAAGGGGTCGGAGACTTAACTAAGAACGAGGAGAAGGATGTCCGATGAGGAGAGGGAGAGGGCGGAAGTGAACTACTAAGTGAACTAGTGCATGAAGTGGAGTCGAACGTTGTCTGGGCAGAAAGAGCGAGACTCTGAGAGGAGGAGGAGAAAGTTGGGTGAAAGCCGTTCTGCCGGGTGCGAAGCTCCATCCACTGATCCAGTCGGGGCCGGGACTTTTTACTAAATCGGTGGTGGAGAAAAACTTGTGTCAAAACACCCCAAACAAAAGACCTATTCCCGGTCAAGCGCATCCACCTTCTCCTCCTCCTCCTCCAGGATCGATCAGTCAGTCGGTTCCAGTTCCATGGATGTCTCTCCTTCTTTAATCTATTCTTGTTGATTATTTACTGAATTGCCCCGTGGTACTTCCACTCTGCCGGCTCTTGCCCCCCTGCCCGAACCACCCGCGCGTGCGACCTTGGTTTATGTCTGTCTATCATTTGGTCTGACTGTCTCTCAAAGTGACCTCTCCTGCCGGCACATGAGTGCACATCCCAATCAAATCCTTTCTCAAGGGTTAATCATCCCATGGTGCGAGTGCGATCAGAAACAAGAAACGAAAAAGCAATGATAATCGACCGAGGTATATTCTCACCGGATGCACACTGGCTATAGCCTGCATAAGGTATGTGCAGTAGTGGCAGCAAAGAGTACCACCATCAGCAGCGAATACTCCGTCCGTAAACCAGGCTTCCGCGTAAGTGCATCCGGGCTCCATCTCACTGGGCTAGATGAGTTTAGACCGATCGGAAAAACCACGATAGTTACCAATCTAAACAGAAATCCCCTCTTCCCCCGACCGAGGCGCTCTGGATTCATTTGTCTCGCTCTTCGACCGGAAGTCCACACTAATCCCGACCTAAAATGGACTAGAGGGTCTGATTCTTAGGTCCAAACCGGGCGGACGGTCTGGAAATTGAGCCCAGGCGTTCCTGCGTGCCCGGTGGCTGTGGAGAGGAGAAGAAGCAGCACGCAGCTCCGAATTATTTGCCGCACAAAAAATAGACACACGCACACACACACACACACACACACACACACACACACACACACACACACACACACACACACACACACACA